CCAGCAGGTCGAGGCTGCAGTGGCCAGGAGCGGTCACTGCACTCCAGTCTGGGCAAGAGTGAAACTCCAACTCAAAAACAAACAAACAAAAAAACAGAAGCTTAAAGAGTTTACATTGCCTGAGACCAGAGTTAGACAATGGCGGGCTGACTTTGGAGTCTGTGCCTTTAATCCGTGTTCTTTTTTTGTTTTGTTTTGTTTTGGTTTTTTCGAGTTGGAGTCTCACTCTGTCACCCAGACTGGAGTGCAGTAGCCGCTCCCGGCCACTGCAGCCTCGACCGGCTGGGCTCCAGCAATCCTTTTGTCTCTGCCTTCCAAGTAGCTAGAACTACAGGCGTGCTACCACGCCCAGCTAATTTTTGATTTTGTTGTAGAGATGAGGTCTCACCAAGTTGCCCAGGTGGGTCTCAAACCCGCAGGCTCAGGCAATCCATAATCTGTATTCTTTTGAAAAAGAATTGAAGAGGACTAATTCTCTTACTATAGAACATCATTGCCAGTGCACCGAGTGATATTGTATAGTATCAAAACCATCTCCCAAAGGTCTCACACTTGGAACACAGAGCACCTCAGTTCGAAAAACTGAGCTCCAGTTTTGACAATGTGAAACCCAGGGGGACCCCAGCCCTTACGCAGCAGGTCCCTGGGGCTTTTCTCCTGCAAGATGCCCCCATGTCTCTGTGTTTGTCATTGCTTTTGTAACTCAGCCAATATCAGTGGCAACTTAAAACACAATTGCATATAAGAATAACCCATCTTCAGGGTACGCTTTAAATTTCCATCTTTTTTCCCTTTCTTTTTACTTATTTATTTATTTGAGACAGGATCTTGCTCTGTCACCCGTGCTGGAGTGCAGTGGTGCAATCATAGCTCACTGCAGCCTCAGACTTCTGGGCTCAAGGGATCCTCCCCCCTCAGCCTCCTGAGTAGCTGGGACGACAGGCATGTGCCACCACGTCCGGCTAATGTTTTAAAATTTTATTTGCTTGTCTGTTTGCTTATTCATTTATCTATCAGCGACGGGATCTCCCTGTGTTGCCCAGGCTGGTCTTGAACCCTCGGCCTCAAGCAACCCTCCCGCCTCGGCCTCCCACTATCAGTATCCTTCCTCGGGGGCCTCTCTCTGTCCGCTAAAGCCGGGCATCAGGATGTGACCTAAAGCCTCTCGTTGCCCCTAGGTGTATCAAATCATCGTCGTGCAGACGGGGAGCTTCGACAGCGACAAGGCCGTCCTGGAACGGCGCTATTCCGACTTCGAGAGGCTCCAGAAGGCCCTGCTCCAGACCTTCGGGGAGGAGCTGGAGGACGTGGCGTTCCCGGGGAAGCGCCTGGTGGGGAACTTCTCGGCCGAGCTGATCGGCGCGCGCCGCCGGGCCCTGCAGGACTACCTGGGACTGCTCTACGCCATCCGCGGCGTGCGGCGCTCGCGCGAGCTCCTCGACTTCCTCACGCGGCCCGAGCTGCGCGAGGCCTTCG